CCTCCCTGCCCCTTCTTGCTCCTCTCCCCCCTGCTCGCCTCCTCCAGCTCCTTCTCCCTCCGCCCCGGCTCCCCCGCTTCCTCCTCCCCAAGACAACTCAACCTGAAAGGGATAGGGCTGTGCAGGGAGCAGGGGGCTGCGGGGTGGGTGCCCAAAGGTGGCAGGGATGGGGGGGCAGGTGGGGAACCCAGTCGTCTGCTGCCGTTGCCCTCTGGGACAGGCTTTTTGGGGGAAGCCCCCCAAGCAGAAGTCCTCAGTGGAGATGGGGATAAGGAACACCCTGGGGCAATGCCACCCTGCTGCGTAGGGGAAAGCCAGCCTGGCCCCACACGGGGGGGGGGGGGGGCGGAGCCCCGGGGTGCTGCACTGGCTGCTCCCATGGCAGCTCAGTGGCCGCCCCGGGGCCCAGCATGGCATAAGGGCCTTGGCAGCTGCAGTATCCCTGTGCTGTCTGCGTGCCCTGGGAGCAGCCGAGTTTGAGCCCGAAGCCCCACTGAGGCAGGCAGGGGGTGCTGGGGCCTGTACCCTCCCTGCAGTGGAGCAGGACATCACCCCGGGCAGGATTTGACCCACATCCCCATGATGCCTGGCCCCTCACCGGAGCAGGAGGGGCCCCATGGGACTAGACCCACAGCTCCCACGCAGCCCCATGGCGGGCCAGGGGACACCCCAGCACATGTGGTCCCTGGGGGACCCACCGCCACCCTCATCCCACATGCACCCCACATGGCACCCCACACACGGTGCCCACCAGCAAGCCTGCCCAGCAGCACCCACTACCCAGCGCGGGCACGTGGATGGCTGCGGGGGGCACGGCACTGCATGGGGGGACAGGGGGGACAGGGCCAGGTGGGCAGGACAGCGGGGAGGTGGAAGTCACCCTCAGCCCTGTTCTATCAGCTTTGAGTTGCCTCCTCCTGGTGCCCCTGCGATGGCAATGCTGATGGACCAAGTACGAGTGTTCTGTACTCCTCTCCTCCTCCTCTTCCTCTCATCGGCTTGTACCCAGCCCCTGCCTACAGCCCTCAGAGAGCAACAGTCCAACCTCTGGCTGTGCCCTGCAATGCACCAGGGGCCGGTGGGAGGGTGAGGGGGTGGCGGGGCCCACCGGGGGGGGCCGGCGCCC